TAAACTTAGGTTCCCAAACTTCGAAATGTCTTTCATCTTGATCTCCAATAGTTCATTTTAGTTAATTTTACCATTGTCTTTGATCAACAAGCTAAAATTTTGTTATAAACTATTCTGCCTGTTGTTGATCATATAAATAGAGGATTACCCTACTCATTAATAGCTGAAATAAAAAAACAGGGATAATTGGTACAAAACGTCCCTACCTTTTAAGGTTTTTGTGAAAAATATCCATACCTTTCATTTTTTAACATTTTCATCCCTACCTTCCCCATTTCATTGAACAAAAGACCATTTTCATCCGTTTTGACGATTTTACCATCCTATTCAAATAAAACAAAAAGAAAAGAAAAGAAAAAACACTAATGAAATAATAATTATTTTTACTCCGCTCTGCTTCGATCAGACTCGTCCGACCTCATATACAAGCTCCAAATAGCTACAAGTACCACTAATTGCCAAACACTTTTATGTGGGCTTGGGGAAGAAAATTTATTTCTTTTTTATTTATAACTTGTTTGATAAAATTTTGTAAACTTTTTAATGGATGGAACTTCAATTTTAGCCACACATTTCAAGAAAATCACAATTTTTATCAAAATTTGCTACTGAAATCATGAAATGAAAGACTGATGATGTAAATGTTCTATTTTGATAAAAGAGGATCTCTGCTGCTAATTTCCAAAATATTTTCTAAAATGTCAAACTCAAACTCTTGGACTGGTGGAATTGACGGTTTTGCATGTTCACAAAAATTGTGCCTATATAAACAGTGTATCTTTCGTGAATATAGCAGAGTTAGATTTGACAATGGAGAAGAAGCTGTTCCAAGCTTTGAATTTTCTCATTTTGCTACTCACAATAGCACAGGCAATAAGGGCTGAAGCAGATAATCAATATGGTGGTTATAATTCTCCGCTGTATTCTTACTACGCGCCACCACCACAAGCCTATCAACCACCAGGTCCACCTCTAACACCACCCCGTCATGAACGACCGCCACCATCTCACCCTCAGCAGCCACCCCATCATGGTCACCCACCGCCCACTCACTATAGTCCTCCACCATCTCATGGCCACCAGCCACCCACGCATAGGTGTCCCCCACCCGCTCCACCACCGTCTCATGGCCACCAGCCACCCAGTCATAGGCATCCTCCACCGTATCATGGATATCAGCCACCAACTCACCGGCATCCACCTCATAAATATACCCCACCACCTTCTTCCCACGGACAGCCACCACCACCATCATTCTCACCACCTCCAATTTCATATGGGCAGCCACCTCCGCCTCCAGTATACTCTCCTCCTCCTCCAGCATACTCCCCCCCTCCTCCTCCACCAATATATTCATCACCTCCGTCACCTGTATACTCTCCTCCTCCTCCAGTATATTCTCCACCTCCGCCATTACACTCTCCTCCTCCTCCAGTATATCCACCACCTCCGCCGCCAGTATACTCTCCTCCTCCACCAGTATATTCACCACCTCCTCCACCAGTGTACTCACCACCTCCTTATGACCGGTCACCACCTAGCTATTCAACGCCGCCTCCTCACCATGGACAGTCGCCTCCAACACCTCATCATCACCGTTCACTGCCAAAGCACAAACCCCCACCAATCCATTCACCTCCTTTTCGTGGAAAACCACCACCAACACCATATCACCACCGTTCACCACCAAAGCACAAGCCACCGCCTCCTCCATACTATGGGCCACCACCACCCCAATACCCACCCTCCCCATATGCTCCTTACACTCCTTAATTTGCCGCCATGGAGTCAAGTGGACTACAGACTATCAAGTATATCAATCTGCAGTTTTAGTTTATTATGAGCTGACTCTTTTTTCGTAATTTCTAATCTTCCAAGAATGTTTACCAAATCCTGAATAATCATAAAAATTATAATACAATAATTGTACTAATCTCCTGTTTCTTAGTTTATTAATTACTATAGCTCTTCTTAAAGATGTCAAGCGTGATTCGTGTCGCTTTACACCTAAATATAGGAATAAAGTCGACTCTACTATGCTATTTCTTCTCAAAAAGTTACGACTTTAAGGAGATTTTTATTTTTACATCGACAATTAACTAGCAATTCAAATTAATATAATGCATTGCCGATAAAAGAATATTGTGGTTTTGATACTCTTATTGTTACTAATTTTGCAATATCAATATGAGGTTCGTTTGTTCGTTAAGTTCAGTACTTGCATGTATATATATCAAGCAAAGTAGATCTTGATCTTCAATGATTCAAGAGTACACCGAAATTAATTATAGGCCGAGTAGCTTATGAAACTTTGGGTGTTTTTTCCACACCCAACAACTCTGGTACCAATTCTAGAGAAGTAGTAAAGTTAAGATAGGATCAAGTAGGGACATGATTTTTAACTAATAATAAAGTTATTGAAACAAAGGCTATAGCAAAAGATTATTGAAAAGGTACAAATTTTTAGAATGTTACACAATAATTTTCATTCTTTTGGAGACGCTCTATGATATAGCCCGTGTTTGATGGAAATAAAAGTTAGATTTTTGACAAATTTTGATAAAAAATTGATGAAATGTGTAGTTGAAAAGTTGTGGGTCTAATGAAATATGTAATTAAAATTAATTGTTGATTTTAAATTTAAAAAAAAATCTAAATTTTCATTTTTATCAAAGAGGGACATAACCAATGTTCTTATCAAATAGAGTATACGATACATCTCGTTGAATCCCTAGTTGTCGTCTCACATTATGCTTATGTTGGACTAGAAAATACAATCTTTTTCACTTCAAAAGTTCAAACCACATTTTCCTTTTCTTTTCATGTAAAATTATTTCTTTAGCAAAAGTTAGAACTTTCTTAAGCCCTTGTTTGATGGAGAACAGGGGATTAAAATTAGATTTTTAATGGATTTTGATAAAAAAAATTGTTTCAATATATGGTTAAATAGTTGTAGGTCTCATGAAATATGTGATTAAAATTAATTTATAACTTTCACTTATATTAAAGTCTGGATTTTAAGTTCTATCAAACATGGGCTAAAAGAAAATTAAAAATCTCCACTTGGCATAAATTTAAAATGATCAAATTTCATTAATTTCAACTATATTTTCCAATGTACCACAAATTATTTTCACTTATTCGCCGCTCATTTCTATCTATTTATAATTTAAATCGTTTATAAATTCTTTCCAAACGGAGGCATCTGATTCTACTTATAATTGGCGAATCTTGTGTGTCAACTTACTTAATGGCATAGTTTGTAATTAGTGTTGATAGTTAGAGTTGTTTGGTCGCATGAATAATAAATGAATACTAAGTTGTGGGTAATCTAAAATGTATAGATGAAAAAATGTTCGACCCCTTTAAGAAAAACGTTAAGCTTTACCAAACATGCTTTTTTCTTCATGAAGGAAATACAACAGCCCACGATGTTGCAGCTTTCTTTTCACGTGATAGGCTTAGTTATAGTTGGATTGTCTCACTACCCTGCTTTCTTTTGCCATCCTTGTGTGGTGACTTGAATTAATATTAAAGAGTTTTTTACATAGTGACAAACACGTTTATTTAGGTTTTAAATTTGAATAAGTCTTTATGTACATAATATATGTACATAGGGGTATCTACACTCTTCACATGAGGTGAGATTCACGCGAGGTGGGCCCATCTCATGTGGGGTGTGGACATCCTTATGTACTCAAATTATGTACATCAAACATGACCCTTTAAATTTACATAATATAAATGTTGAATGAATTTTTACTTAATTTAATGTGTATAATATTTTTAGAGGTGAAAATTCCAATTTAAAGGTAAAACGAGTACAAAGGAGATGAATTGGAGACTTAAGTACGAAATTGAAGAGTTACCCAGAAGTTTGGATTTGTTTGAAAGTACTAATTGAATGAATTCACAAGTTTTAGCGATCAAACGTCTTTGACTAATCACTGAACT